ATGGCCTCAAAGCCTAATGATCCGCCCTGAAATATCCCGGGCAGCTACCTTTCTCCTGGAAATAAGATCTCAGCCGCAGGAATGCTGGGTCTCTTCCTTCTCTGTTCTCTATCCCTGAGCCAATAAACCTTGAAGCCGATCCATGCCCTTGAACTGACAGTCGCTGTTCTATTCAAGAAGGGAGGGTGGGGGTGGGGAAGCAGAGACGGGGAAAAAATCTATTTCATTAAATGCTGCTTGTTTTAAAGTGGGAGCGTTTGCTGGGTGTCTGGGGAACTGGCGTCTTTCTGTGTCTCATTGGGTGAATCTGATCTTAAAAAAACAAAACAGGAAAGCTTCCATATAAGGGAGAAAGCCTCACTTGCAGAGCTTAAGGCCGATTTCTGTTTGCAGAGAGGAGCATTTGGTCCTGGGAGTTTATTTAACAAGCCTTTATTGAGGGCTGGCTACCAACCAGGTGCCATTCTAATTACCAGAGGGACCTCCCAGGTGAACAAGGCATCTTCATAGAACGAGATGATAGAAACACTCATTTCTGCTAAATTTCCTCTTGTTTATTCACTGATGTTGAAAGACCCTCCACTGGGCCAGGCCTGTCCCAGGCACTGAGACTGGGAATGAGGCGGTGTAGGCTTCTTGTCCAGCTGGAGGGCGGAGGACCGGTGATGGGGGCCAGCAGGGGATCCTGGACATGTCTCCAGGGGGCCTGGCAGGCTGGCTCTCAGGGATGCCTCATCTGTACATAGCCCGCTCGCAAAGTCCTTCTGTATTTGCCATCTTCAATAAGAGGCCAGAAGAGGGGTGGTCTTCCTCCATCTTTCATTACATCTGAGCATCCTACTGACCCCAAGGCAGAGGTGGATACTGTCCAGAGCTGCTTGAGGGGGTCGGGGATGGTGCTTGGACCCAGTGCATTGGACCCCCAGTGCCAAGGGTTCCTGGACTACAGGAGCCCCTATCAGGTGTTGTGCATCCAGGCAGGTGCATTCTTGAGGCCAAGAGAGGGCTCATCACATGGAGGTCTGTGTCTCCAGCTGCCCGTGGAAGCATCTTCGTCATGTTAGTGGCCTCCGGAACCCGAGCTCTTGGCCTCATCATCTCCATCACCCCACAGTGGCTTTGGGTTTTGCTCCATCTACCTTAACCCGGACCCCACCGCCAGTCACTGTGCTCCTCTGCTCTGGGTGGCTCTGCAGAAGGGACACCCACCTCAGAGAAGGAAGTTGGTACCAGCACCTAGACTGCTTGGGATTCTAACTTTCTCATCTGGGGAATGAGTCTGTCGTTTTCACCCTGGGCGGCACAAAAAGTTGGCGCGTTCAGCTGTTAATAGAAAGCTTGGTGATCGGTGTCTGCCTGGAGGCCCCTCACATGACAAGCCTGGTAGTTAACTTCCGGGAAGTCAGCCATTGGAACCCTCTGGTGCACAATTCTACTTGACTCATATGGGTCAGTGTGGGTGGGGATGGATTTCTTCCCTGCTTCCCACCTGTTGGGTGAGTGTGAAGAGATTACCATAACGCATCACTGGCAGGTGGTGAGTTTTGTGTGAAGATAGTGGTCCCTGCGCTCTCAGGGGTAGGAGTTGCCCCCAGTGGTTTCTCACCCCTTCATGGGCCCTGGCTTCTCAGATGTCTTTATCCAGAGCTTTCAACCAACATTCCACCGACTCTTTGCCATCAGGTTGATTCCACCTTCATGCAACCCTGGAGGACAGATTAGTAGTGCCACATAGGATTTCCAAGACAGAAGTAGGGTCCCATGCAGTGACTGGGGGGTTCAGACTGCAGCCTTTCAGTTAGCAGCCCAGAGCTTACCCACTGTGCCACCAGGCTTCCTTGTGAGAAAAGCAGTTACTGCTGTTGGGTGCTGTGGAGTCGAGTGCGGCTGATAATAGCCCTGCAAACAGCAGCCTGAACCCTGTCCCGTCCTGTCCTGTCCTGTGCCGTCCTCAGACTCTGACATACTCATGTCCATTGCAGGAGTCACTGTATCAGTCCATATAGTTGAAGGTCTTCCTGTCTTCCACTGACCCTCCACCTTTCCAAGCATGATGTCATTCTGCAAGAAATCACCTCTCCTAACAACATGCCCAGAGTATGTGAAACACCTCTTTGTCATCTTTGCCTCCAAGGAGCATTCTGACTGCACTTTTCTTCAAAACATATGTTTGTTCTTTTGACAGTGCATAGGATATTCCGTACTCTTCTCCAACACCACAACACAAGACAAGGGCTTTATTCTTCTTCTGTCATCCTTATTCATTGTACAGCTCTCAGGCATAGCAAGTGACTGAAAAGACCATGGCCTGAATCAGGCATACCTTAGTCTTCAAACTGACATCGTTGCTTCTCAGTAATTTGGAGAGGTCTCTAACTGCACATTTCCCAATGCAACGTCTCCTGATTGTCTGACTTCTGATAACAAGTGCATTGGTTGTGGATACAAATAAGATGATGTCATTGACAGATTCAGTCTTTTCTCCATCTCTCCTTATATTGCCTGTCAGTCCAGTGGTGAGAAGTTTTGGGTTTGGGGGTGGTTTTTTTAAAGTTTTGTTTTCTTGATGTTGAGATGTAATTCATATTAAAAGCTGTCATGTTAGAACTTGTGCAACAAGTCTTTCACCTCCTCCTCACTTGGGGCTAGCAAAGTTGTATCATCTGCACAACACAGGTTGTTGATGAGTCTTCCTCCAATCCTGATACCACAGTCTTCTTTATAGAGTCCAGCCTCTCACATGATTTGTTCAGCATACAGATTGAATCCATGGAGAAAGGATACAACTCTGACATACACCTTTTCTCATTTTAAACCATACAGTGTTCCCTCACTGATTGGACAAAAATAGCCTTTTGCTCAAGATAGAGGTTTCCCATGAGGACAGTGAGGTGTCGAGGGAAGAGTGTATTCAAAATGCTGTCAGGGGCCTCATTCGAGGCTGGTTACCACATGACTTGAAATATTTGAGAAGCAAGACAAGATCTCTATTTTATGGATGAGGAAATTGAGGCACAAAGACGTTAATGGTTAGGCCCCTGCTGATGACTTTGATCATGGTGGTGGAGAAATATATTGAATAAGCCAAGAACTTCCAGAGAACAAGCACGTCAGCCTTAGAAAAGCGTAATCAGAATGCCCCTTAGAAGGTATAATTGTGTCCCTCTGGCGGGGGATTCCTCCTCTTTTTTCTCTGACCTTTGACTTTTCCAGTGATGTCCTTCTCCAAGACCTGGCTCCGCCCCACAGGTATATTAGATGAAGTCTCGTCATCCGTGCTTGTACGGAGCACTCGGGCTGCACTCCCCCCAAGACAGATCTGCGTGTGTTTTAGGGAGTCCGTGGTGTATTCCATGTTCTCCTCAACACCACAGTGCAAAAGCATCAATTCTTCCGTATTTTTATTATTTAAACACCTTTAAAAAAAAACAAATGGCCACTGTGCGCATGAACTTTAGCTGATAGAATACACAGGAATCAAATCAAAGTCTGTGGACAGAGACGGTGGAGAAGCTCAGTGATCAGCATTGAGAACAAATGAGGCCAGGGGTGGGCTGTGAGCATAGACAGCAGTGGTGTTGTGTGCTGTCCATCTGGAACCAGTTCACAGCTGACCTTCCAGAGGAATTGCAGAGGCTGTAATTTACAGAGGAGACGATCACTCATCTACCTTCCGTCTTGATTGATTTTTCATGTTCATGACATTTTCTGGAAAGGAAACCCTTTAATAAACAAGCTTTGTGAATGACTTCTGTCATTCATCCTAATGTCGTAGGACGTATCAGGACTTCATCCTTTTTCTTTATGACTGGTTCCAGTTGTTGTGTATATCTACCACATTTTGTTTATTCCTTTGGCTTGCTTCTGCTTTTGACTGTGGAGAGTAATGCTGCCATGAGCATGTGTATTCATACTTTTGTGTGGACATGTGCTTTCACCTCTGGGTTATACGGTCACTCTGTATGTAATCTTTTGCAGACCTGTCAAACTGGTTTTCAAAGGGCTGTACCATCGTACATACTTCCCACTTCCAATATGTGAGACTTTCAGTTTCTCCACGCCCTCACCAACATTTGTTACTGCCTTGTTGTGAAGGGACAGCAGAAACCCCATTTTTTATAAACCCCCATTAACACTAGAGGCAGAAGCGGGCCATAAAAATTCTTAGCTTAGGGCAAACACGAGTGCCCCGGGTAAAGCCTTGTCTGTCCTTGAAAAGTAAGGAATTAACTAGTGTCTACATGACACAGGAAGAGTAAAGGCGGGCAAAGTAACCAGCCCATCAAAAGCCGACCATTTGGGACCAGCTGCTTCATGGGAAAAGGATGGACAGTCTCCTCCCGTGCTATTCACTGCCTCTGAAAACCTGCTAGAGGGTCGACTGACTTGAAGACACACCCAACAGCAACAAGCAGGCGTGGAAGGAGTTCTGGTGGATAGTTCATTGTGTGTTAACCTGTTAACCAAAAGGTCAACTGTTCTAATCCACCAGCTGCTCCTTGGGAGAAAGATGGGCAGCTTCCCATAAAGATTAACAAGCTAAGAAGCCTGTGGGAGTCAGAATGGACTCCATGGCGGTGGGTTTATTAATCCTGGTTTAGTGGGTGTGAAAGTGCCTCATACTTGGTTGTTTTTTGAAAGCCTTTCTAAAACATGAGTGACTCTAAGTAATAGAACTAACCAAGCCAAACCCGTTGTCCTCCAGTCACTTACAACTCCTAGCAACCCCACTGGACAGAGTGGAGCTGCCCCGTGGGGTCTCAGAGGCTGTTAGCCTTCACAGAAGATTGCCACATCTTTGTTCCCACAAAACAATGGTGGGTTCAAGTCATCAAATGGTTGCTTCGCCCTGCCCCACCTGTGGCTAATCCAGGATCCAGCACCTTCGTTCCCCAGAGCCCTGATCAGTCCTGGGTGAGCAGTCGCTGGCCACCTCCTGGGCAGTCGGAAGCGGGTGAATCTCCCTGCTAACTGGTGCTCTGCCTTCTCTTCTCTTCCAGCCATTCACGAGTTCCCCACAGACCTGTTCTCTAACAGGGAGCGACAGCATGGAGCCGTCCTTCTGCACATCCTCGGTGTAAGTGTCCCCTCCCTGTTGGTGTCACTAACTGCAGACGTGTGATGTTGAGAGTGCCTGCTGTGGGGGCCGTCATGTGTGGGAGAGCTAGCTTCACTCTCTGGACAACCCCAAGAGGAAGACGGTTACTGACCTTGTCTCTGACCTAAGAGCTGCCTCGTGTCACACTCAACCAAGGAAAAAATCTAAGTCTTTTTGTGTCTCTTTTTTTAAGTGTAAGTGTGTGTGTGTGTGTGTGTGTGTGTGTTGTTGAATCAGATCCGACTGGTACAGGAGGACTTTGCCCCCCTTCTCCAGCAAAGCATCTAGTGGATTTGAACCACACACCTTTGAGGCTGCAGCACAGCGTGCCTCATTTTTTACTCGATCAGCTACGAGTGATGGCACCCAGGCCACAGGTGTAAATACAAATGCGTGCAAGTCAAGTGTATCAGACGCCGTGAAGCATCAAATGAGTGTTTATACATATTTGCAATTATTGATTCATGACTTCTCCCCACCCAGTTGTTACCATATCTACAAACCCGTGTTGTGAACCACCATTGAGTCGGCTGTAACACATAGCGACAATACAGTCATAGAGTAGGACACCCTGCCTGCTCCTGCACCATCCTTACAGTCTGCCATGCTAGGCCCATCCATTGTTGCAGCTATGGTACCAGCCCATTTCATAGAGGGTCTTTCTTTAAAATACCTTGGCTTATTTAAAACTTTGAAGAACTTCTTCACAGATTTCTCTCCAAATTTAGACAGGCTTCAGTGACAAATGGTGGCATTCAAGTAGCAGTTCAACAACTGTTGTAGAATAGGACTGTCCTTGGGGTTGGGGAGAGACTGAGTAAGATGGGTTCAATAATGTATACTGCGCTGAAACAGAGGAGGGAGAAAACTGTTTAAAAGAGATATATGACTAGGTACTTCTGTCATCACAGGAGTCTAGAGCGAGGGCTACATGGTGGAAGGAACCTGGGGGAGGGTTTGTAAAACAATGAAAGAATCCTTTCTTTTACTTTTCCATAATTTTTGACTCATGTACTTATAACTTGTTAGTCAAATTTGTGTCTTCTAGGTTATAACACCCCCATGATACATCTTCAAGGATATGAACATGTACGGCCAAGCACAATCAATAAGAGTGCATCTAAATTCCAAAATCAATCTCCATAATAGTCTATGTGTTTCCTACTGCCAAAGGGGCCCTTTAGAGTAGTGAGAGAAGATCTTCACCCTGAAACCCACAGCGTCCCTTTTCAGCAGGAAGTAGCTAAGAGAATACGCCATCCGCTTTTCCTTATGACTCAGGGTGAAGTCTCTCTCAGGGAGGAGTGATAGGGAATGGCAAAGGACACACCGACAAAGGAGATTAATCAGAACTGACTTTAACAAGCACTGTGGCAATTGGACAATTAAAACAGACATTCAAATGGTGGGGAAGAAGAACAAACTGGGGAGGAGGGTGGAGAGAATGGTGCGGCAATGAAGGAGTGAAAGCCCAGAATCCCTGTGAATGTTCATTGAAACTAATAAAATTTAATAATAATTAAAAAAAAAGTAGCAGTTCACCAAAAAGAAACATGAGTTCCAACCTAAAGTATAGGTTAAAAATAAAAAGGGGGGGGGGCTCTTCTATGATAGGACTCAGCAAAGTCCATTTCACAGCCAAATCTGGCCCACTGCTTGTTTCTCTAAATAAAGTTTTATTAGGACACGGCTAACACCCATTCACTTCTGCATTGTCTTTGGCTGTTGTCTTGGTTGCTTTGTGTGGTGGTAACAGTCGAGCGTATAAAGAGCAGGACACCACTGATGGGTGACTTGAAATAACAGAAGCTGACTTTCTCACAGTCGGGGAGGCTCAAAGTTAATGTCAGGTTATCAGCTGTGTCACTGCCTCTGTGACTGTCTCTGGTTGCTGGTGTGTGTTGGTGATTGGTGCTGTTCCTGGAAGTGACTGTATCCCTGTGTGTATCTCTGGGCCTGTCTACTATCTTTGTCATTCAGAAACCATTAGGTTTGGGACTCCTTCCACTCTTGATCTGAGCACATTGATTAAAAGACCTTAATGAAAGGCCTCCCTACACCTAAATTTCCAAATAGATCTATCATCACAAGTATGGGGGTTTAGAATGCCAACAAATTCAATCCATAGCACTATTTTTGTGCATCGGGGGTCAAGGTGAGTAGTTAAACAGAGATCATAGGCCTGCAAGCTGAAAGGACCCACCCCTGACCCTTCAGAAAGCAATGTGCCCAAACCTTAATGTACCTTTAAGGTGATGCTGACTGATAGGAACCCTTCCATCAAATTTTTGAGGCTGATGGCTTTGTGGGAACTGTCTGTCCATCTTTCTCCCTCAGAGCAGCTGGAGGAGTCAAACTTCTGACCCTTTGGTGAGCAGTGCAGCTTGTTACTCACTATGCCAGCAGGACCTGCTCCCCATTCCCTTGCATGAAGAAGTGAAGGGGGCCCGGCATTGCTTGCCTCTTTTGCATCAATCATGGTAGATTTCCCTCCTCATCAGCTTCACCAACTACTCAGCCTTGTGTTTGTGTCTTTAAACCCAGTCATATATGAGTATTTACGAGATAATTAAAAAAAGGAAATCTGGGATCCTTGCATGGTAACAACCAGGGAATAATGAATGCGTGAGGTTTTCATTAATAGGCTAAACCACTAAAGAAAGCGAATGTTGGAATGTGAGTTGCAGGCAAATTGTGAATGACTGGACTGTAAATTATTTCTAGAATAGAGTTGTTACCTTTCTGGTTTTCTCTAGTCCAATGCACCTTCCTCTTTGGGGAAGTGGCTATGAGTTGAGCTAATTGCTTCTTTAACACTGTGGTCCTGCCTCATGAAAATCTTGGCATTGCTGAGATACTCTCATTTTTCCTGAACCCGAGAGTGAGTTCCATAGGAATTTTGTGGGAACACAGTAGAACAAGGGTCATCTCCCTGGAACACCAAATCCAGCTTACTACTTATGTTTATAAATAAAGTTTTATTGGAACCCTGCCGTATTCAGCAGAGTGGTTACCCAGGGGACTCATAACCCACAAAGACCAAAACATTAACTATCCATCCAGTCCTTCTCAGAAAATAAAATTGCTGATTCCTTCCTTGAAGCAGAAAAGGCTCAAGCTTCAGAGTTAGTTCTCTCAGCAGCTCTAGGATGTGAGTGTGTTTCTCAGGAAAGGCTGGGGCAGTGGCTTAGGCTCTGGCTCGGGCACTGGGCAGGTGGCGCCATCTTGGCCTCTTCCCGTCCACTTCTGAATGAGACGAACCTTCCTTCTTGGTTCTCATCTTTCAAAGGGGCTTCTCTTCGGCCTGGAGGAGCTGCTCTGTAAGGATCGAGCACAGAAGAGTGTTAGTGAAAGTGCCCCAGCTAAGGGCCCTCTGAGCTTTAGGCCCCTCTGCCGCCCAGTGAGTCATACATAGGTCCTCTCTGGCCCCCAGTGTGTACCTCTTTCAATGAGGGGGTGAAGGAGCAAGCCTGGGATTCTCCTCCACACCCCGATGTCTGTCAGCCTGTGCACACACACACAAACACACACACACACTCCCTCTTCCTGTCTCTCCTCAGGCGCTGTACATGTTCTACGCCTTGGCCATCGTGTGTGATGACTTCTTTGTCCCATCTCTGGAGAAGATCTGTGAGGTACCTGGGAGGGTCATGGTGGGACCTCAAGGGGAAGTTGGGGGCCTGTGGGATGTGTGAGATGGACTCAGAAGGCAGCAGGAGGGGAGTGGAGGAGGGGCCTGGTGTCACATTCTCACACTGGGACTGTTGAGTCTGTTCAGTGGAGGCCTCACTCTGAAGTGGGGGGTGGGGGTGTCAAATGACATCTCTTCCTAGTACTTGAACAATGCTCAGTGATAAATTCATAACCAGAACTCTAGACCCAGAACTCTAGGCTGCTGGCACGTACAGCAGTCAGGAGCCCAGCCAGGCCTGCTGCTGGACTGGAGAGCTCCCTGGAGCCGGCTGCAGGTGGCAGGTGACATCAGGGATCCTAGCCACTCGAGGACTCCCCTGGGGAGGGTGCTGGTGGGAGTGGCAGGGTTTTCCCTGTGTCCTGACCTTTGCAAGCCCACATGCTCTTCCCTTCCTGACTTTTAGAGGGTTTCCCCCCGCCCCCTTCGTGTCCTAGACCTAGCCTACCCTTTCCTTCTGCTTAGGCTTCTCACCAAGGAAGGAGAACTACCTGTGTTTCAGAACTGCCCATGTGTGCCAGCCTCTGCCGGAGACATGGGCCTGCTTGCCCTCAGGGGCTCACCATCCAGACAGCACAATCCCACAATCCTTCACTCATATGATTGTATTCTGATAGATGGAGACTAAGACACAAGACATGTCCAGGGAGGGTTAAATGTGCCATTTAGTCAAGGACTCAGAGAGTGAACAGAAAATAGGTGGAGAAAGGGAAGACCCTTCCAAACTGAAGGACTGGCCAGGCAGAGGTGGGAGGCCTGGGGAGCAGACTGAGCAGAGGGACAGGGGTGTCCAGTAGAGTGGCAGGAGGGCGTGTGCCCAGGACCTGGGACTGGGGGAGGGAGGAAGCTGCCAGCCAAGGTGCTTGGCTCCTTCTCGCCAGCACTGTCCAGTCAGCACGCCCACTGCCCTGAGCATCGGTGGTCACTTCTCTTTCAGAGGCTCCATCTGAGTGAAGATGTGGCTGGAGCTACTTTCATGGCTGCGGGGAGCTCAACGCCAGAGCTCTTTGCGTCTATTATTGGTAAGAAATCCCCCTGGCCTTAGACACAGGATCTCTGGACAGTCCAGGTGTGATGGCTAAGGCAGTGGGGCCCTTGTCAGCTGTGAGCCTCAGTTTTCTCATCTGTAAAATGGAAAAGTTGTGAGATGGACAGTGGATTAGTAGTTGCCTGGGGTTTGGGATGGGAGAGAATAGGGGGGCTCTGAGAACAGGTCGAGGTTTCTTTTAGGAGTCACAGAATTATTTTAAAAATGTTTATTTTATTATTTGTGTGTGTGTACTGTCAAATTGAATCTGACTGGTACAGGAGGAGATTGCCCTCCTTCTCCAGCAGAGCATCTGGTGGATTTGAACCCTGTACCTCTGGGATTGCAGTGCAGCTTCTTGCCACTAGACCACCAGAGCTCTCATGGAGTCACAGAAATATTTTAAAATGAGATTGTAGTAATGTGAATGAAGGAGGGTGTGGAAACAATGATTATGAACTTTGTAAGCAAACCAGTATCAAAGAAAATTTAAAAAAAAAGATAAATTGGAGTATACTTATTTATTCCCTCTTTCTGCATTGAAACAGATGAGGGAGAGATCTGTTTTAAAGGGATATGTAATTAGGTATTATTGTCATGACAGGAGTCCAGAATGAAGGCTGCATAGTGGGGTGGACTTGGGGAGAGGGATTGTATAACAATGAAAGGATTTTACTTTTCAAAGAGAGGAGCTAATTGGGGGGAGGGGAGGGCAGGGCAGGGAAAAGAGTGCAACAATGAATGAATGGAAACCCTAAGTCTCTTTAAACTTTCATTAAAATTAATTAAAAAATTGACTAGGAAAAAATAAAAAAAATTTTAAAAGTAAAAAGAAAAATTGTGGGAAATGAGATTGTGATGATAGTTCACCATTATGTGGATACGGGCCATCCTGGGCTTCCGAAGATCCGTCCTGAGGACGACGCTTACCTGCCCTTTAATGTTTGGTAAATCTGCCGTCATTTGGAAAGTTTGAAACAACCATTTCTCTCCACCTGTATATGAAGCTCTTAAATCTTTGAAAATGTTTCATGTGCTGTTATTTGATATCATCAAGTCAACTCCGACTTGGACTGACCACCCCGTCCAACAGGGCGAAACCCTGCCCAACCCTGTGCCTTCGCGCTGTCTTCTCTGTGAAGCCCATGGTGGCAGTCACGGTGCCCGTCCATACCCTTCAGCCTCCCTTCCTCTCTGTCACTCACCCTCCACTTTACCCAACATGATGTTCTTCTCCAAGGACTGGTGTGTCCTGATAATACGCCTGAAGTATGTGAGAAGTCTTCACCATCCTTGCTTTAAGGGTCACTCTGCCTACCCTTCTTCCAAGACATACCTGTTTGTGCTTTCACCAGCCTGTATACTCAGTACTCCTCATCAACACCACAGTCCAAACACGTCAGCTTCTTCTTTTTTCATTGTCCAGCTTTCCCATGGCACACGAAGCAACTGAAAAATATAGTAGCAAGGTCAGGCGCACCTTGGTCTTTAAACTGACATCCTTGCTTTTGAGAAATGTAAAGAGATCCTTGATGTCAGATTTACCCGTGCACTATGTCATTTGACTACTAACATTGACATAAAAACTGTGTGCTCCTGTTCCAGATTATCTATAAATCCTTGAAGACTTAGCTAGAAAAGGATTTTGTTTTGTTTTGTTTTGTTTTTATTAATTTTAATGACGGTTTACAGAGTCTTAGGGTTTCCAGTCACTCATTGTTGCACTTTTCTCCCTGTCCCCCTCCCCCCAACTCCCTTTTCTCCTTGAAAAGAAAAAGAAAAACTCTTTCATTGCTATACAGTCCCTCCCCCCAAGTCTACTGCACTGTGCAGCCATCATTCTGGACTCCTGTCATGACAATAATACCCACTCATATATCCCTTTTAAACAGTTCTCTCCCTAACCCAGGGACTGGCTGACTATGCACACACAAAAAAACCAACACACACACACACCCACCCCCACCGCCACTAAAATGTGTACATTAAATGGACAGATGTTGTACGATGTAAATCATATCTCAATAAAGTTTCTTTTGAAAAGTCAGGAGGGTGATGAGGATGTTCCATGAGGATGTCCTGGTTTTGCTCTTCTCACTGATAAACATCGTAGGTGGCCTGTAGTGTAAGACCCCTCACCTCTCACACAGGGGCACACCCTCACGGCAGCCTGGGGCATGTGTTCTTGCTTCCAGGTGTATTCATCACCCACGGAGACGTCGGGGTCGGGACCATCGTGGGCTCGGCTGTGTTCAACATCCTGTGTATCATTGGCGTCTGTGGACTGTTCGCAGGACAGGTGAGTGGCCCCTTCTCCGGTCCGGTGAGCCCTTAGTGAGTTGTTGTGGGACCTCGATGCGAGGGAGGACAGTCAGCAGTGTCTCACAGCACGCTGTCCCTTGTTTAGCCTTTTCCCACGTTCCGATTTCCTTTCAACGGCAGCATTCTGGGGGCCTGACAGGCTAGAACAGTGCCTGCTCTCTTACCAGTGAGAGTTTTTTCCACCGCAGTAAATATTTAACAAGTCCCTCCTGGACCTCTGACCCGGGGCTGAAGAGTTCAGTTCCTGGCTGCCAAGTTAGGGCTGACTCATCACCGATCCCCTGGTGGGTTTCCTGGCTGTGAATCTCAGGGGAAGAGCTTGCCCATCTTTCTCCCCCGGAGCCGCTGGTGAATTCTCCCTGCTGGAGAGGTGTGGCCCTTTACTTACCGTGACCCTATGGGGTCTATACCAACAGAGCTCCTTGACCCTGGGCTAGATTCAGGAACTGTCTCGGGCCTGGCGCTGGCCTCCCAGCAGGAAATGTGAAATGTTTCCCGGTTTATGGAGACACAGGGAGTGTTAGACTGGCAGCTCAGGGAGGTAGAGTTACCTTCAGAAGGTGCCAGCATCAGGTGGGGAGAGCAAGTGGCACGCTTCTCCACGTCAGTGGGCAGCTTCTGTCGTGTGAGGAGTGGCCTGCTCAGCCATCATTAAGAGCAGTACTTGATCTGTTCTGTTCTCCCAATAGGAGAGGGAGTAAATCATGTGAGACCAAAAAATGGTAGCCCTTGTCCCCAAACAATACCCAGAAGGCAGGGAAGAAGGATGACTCAGGGTGGGAAACCCAGGGACAGAGTGGGTCGAGTGCTGATATTCAAGGAGAGAACAGTCATTATCATGGACCAAAGTGTATGTGAATAATTGAATGGAAAAACGAATCTATTGTGTAGACTTTGAACCAAATCACAGTTAACAAGTTGAAGAAAACCAGAGAGTGAGGGAGCATGGTGGCAGTCAGGAGAGCTCCGGGTGCCTCCCTGCACCTGTGCACCCTGGGGGTTCGGGAGGAGGGAGTTTTCCACGGCTGTGCCCCACCTGTCTCCTGTGCCCACAGGTAGTGCGCCTGACGTGGTGGGCCGTGTGCCGGGACTCCGTGTACTACACACTCTCCGTGGTCGTGCTCATTGCAGTGAGTCAACCCTGCCCCGGTGCTCTGTCCTATTCCCATCAGACCCCGAGATCGCGCCCTGGGCCTGCATGCACTGAACTGTCCCCTCACCCTGCCTCCTCTCCCAAAAGTCTCCTCCCCAACCCTTGAAGCAGAGTGGCCCCGTGAATCATCTTGTAAGCAAAAAGATCTACAAGCACCAAGGCACTTGTCAGCCTACTGGCCTTAGGTGCTCTGCCTCTTAGAGAGAGGTCGTTCCATGCTGTCCGGAAGTCCACTGACTCAGGGGCACAAGCCTAGGCTTCCAGTCTTCCAACGCACTGTAGAGCAGAAAGGGTGCACAGCTCCAAGTGGTCAGAGGAAGAGGGTGGGAAAGGAGAAAGGGCAGAGGAGCTGAGTCAGGGCTGCCTGGGGTCTGCTGGTGTAGAGGCAGCAATCCTGCTTCCCTACAGCCCCCCATGGATGGGGGGACATCATGACCCGTGACAGTGATGTGTGTGACACTAACTCCTAACTCTGCATCCCAGCCGCTGGGGACAGTTTCAGTCCACGTGGGATGTTAGTGCGGCAGCTGGGACAGAATACACTCCAGAGGGTAGAGACACACAGGGTACATAGAACAGACCCTTGAGTGTCTCAGCCCTCCGGAGCTGTGCCAGTCATGGCACCTGTACTAAGTATCTGCTGTGTGATACATCCCCCTGCAGCTCGACAGCCTGGGTGGGTTACCCACTGCTGTGTAAGATTCCCCCAAAGCCCCAGAGCTTGAAACCACAAACACTCCTTGTCTCCCACTGACTGTGGGTCAAGGATATGTCAGTGACTGAACTGGGTCCGCTGGCTCAGAATCTTGGTGACTGTCAAAGTGTCAGACAGAAATGGCCATCTCGATCTCAGCTAGGGGAGGGTCTGATTTCTAGATCACTTGTGTGGCCGTTGGCATTCATGTCCAGTGGGCTGTCCCCTGTCCCGTGACCTCTCATAAGACGGCTTGTTGCACTAAAGCCACCTTACCTCAGAGAGAGGAGGAGAAGGCCCTGAGATGAGAATTCCGCTCGCTCTTAACCAAACTCACTAGCCTGAAAGTGTCTTTGACCTTCCCCCAGTATTCCTTGATATCCGTCCGTCTGTTTCCCACCATGTGTATCGTCTGTTCCTCTCTTTGTAACCCCTAAGGGATGAGGTTAGCCCTCACCCTACTTAAGTATGATTCATTAACACAAAGAGAACCCCCTGTTTCTCACAGGATCACATTCTTGGGCATGGGGAATGATAGGACTTCAGTGCGTATTTTTGAAGATCACAATCCAATTCATAGAATATTAAGAATTTATTAAAATTTCACCAACTTGCTCAATATTTGTCAAACCGACTTGAGTGGTAGGCTCACCTCATTGGTGGTCGCTCACTGACGTGTTTAGCAGGGTTCTTGAACCCAGTGTGGGAGAACGGTCCAGGGCAGATCGGCTTCACGGGGTTCCGGCCAGTCTACTATTTCTGGTCTTCACCCTGTCTGCATGCTAGGAGCTCTCCCCACTAACCCACTTGCCTTTAGGTCAGTTCCACCCCTGTCCTCCCTCTTGCTTTCAATTCCTGCTCTTAGTTCTGTGGTCCCTCCCGGGGCCGGACTGGGGAGAAGTCTTGTAGCTCCTACGAGGGGGGCGGAGGAGGGGAGAGAGGGAGGGAATGAAGGAAGGGAAGGGAAGGGAAGGGAAGGGAAGGGAAGGGAAGGAAGAAGGAAGGAAGAAGGAAGGAAGAAGGAAGAAGGAAGGAAGGAAGGAAGGAAGGAAGGAAGGAAGGAAGGAAGGAAGGAAGGAAATAAGGAAGGAAATTTAAAGAAAGAAGTCAGGGATGGAGCTTCTTGAAGGTTTCCAAAGGCAGCTTCGGTGATTCTGTGATTCCAACTCACAGAGACCCAAAGGCTTCAGGGTAGAACTGTCCCACAGGGTTTTAAATGGCTGCCATCATTTTGGAAGTAGATTCCCCAGCCCTTTGCCTGAGGTGCCTCTCAGTGTACTCGAACTTCCAACCCTTCAGCCATTAACTGAGCACTTAACCATTCACACTTAACACCAGCCACAGCCGCTCACTTCTGCTCCACACTGGACTGGGTAGGGGTGGGTTGGAGGAGCCCTCACGTAAACCACAGGACCAGCAGTCATTTGTGCCCCACGTGGGAAATGCTGCCCGTGGTGACTGACCTTGTTGTCATTGGCCCTTAGGAAGCCGGGGCTGTCCCCCTTACCACACCACCCCTGAATGCCCTTCTGACCATCCAAGCTGACCCTCTGCCCTCGGACTCTCTAAAGAGTCTTCTTTTACTTGTAAGAAAATGACATCCATGTGGCACACCTGTATGCACACATGTCATTGGTGTTACCAGATGCCATTAAGCCAATTCTAATTTTGATGCTTCACTCAACAGAACAAAACCCTGGCCACTCCTGGACCATGTTTGCAAATGTTAATGTTTTTGACCCCATGTTGCAGACTCTGTGTTGGTCCGTCTCCTTGAGGGTCTTCCCCTTTTCCACTGACTCTCTACTCCAGCAGACATTACGTACTGCTCCTGGGACTGGCCACTTACAATGACAATGCCCTATGTGCGTGACAGAAGTTTCATCCTTCTCAATTCTAAGGAACATTCTTCCCAGACAGGTTTTTTGGTATTCTGGCAATCTGTATGGTCAATATTCATCACCAACATCATAATTGAAAGGCATCAATTTTTATTCATTGCTCAGTTTTTATATGCATATAAGACTATAGAAGGTGAGCTCTGGTGGCCTAGTGGCAAGAAGCTGCACTGCAATCCCAAAGGCACAGGGTTTGAGGCCACCAGCCGCTCTGCAGGAGGAGGATGGGCAGTCTCCTTTCATGTGATTAACTGCCTCTGAAAACCCACCAGCGGGTCAGCTACGAGTCGATTCCTGCTCAAAATACACAACAACAATAAGGCTATAGAAAACTCCACAGCTTGGGTCAAGCACTCCTTATTCCTCAAAGTGACTTCTTTACATTTTAAGACTTTAGAGAAGCCTTTTGTTGAAGATTTGCCCAATGTAAGTACGTCCTTGGATTTCTTTACTGCTGCTTCCTCGGACATTCATTGTGGATCCAAGTAAACAGAAATCCTTAACAACTTCAGTCTTTCCTCTGTTAGCTTTCTGATTGGTCCAGCTGTGAGGATTTTTGTTTTCTTTCTGTTGAGGTGAAATTCACTCGAAAGGCTGTAGATTATCCGCTTTGTCAGTATTTCAAACCCTCTTCCCTTTCAGCAAGCAAAGTCCTTGATCTGCAGGTTACAGGGTGTTAGTGAATCACTTCCTCTAATCCTGATGCTGAGTTGTTCTTCATATAGTTCAGCCCCTTGGATTATTTGCTCATCCTTTAAATTGGTGTGGTGACAGGATTCAACACTGACACACACCTTTCCTGATTCTAAGCCACGTAGTGTCCCTTTGTCCTGTTTGAACGACCACCACTTAGTCTGTGCTTGGTGCTATGTGAACACAATGAAATGTTATGGAATTCCCATTCTTCACAGTGTTCTGTGGACAACTTACATGTGTGCACATACATCCAGACACACATACACACACACACACACACACGCGCGCGCGTGCATGATATAGACATATGTTGTTGTGTTATATGCCACTGAATCAGAACTGACCCTCTAGGAGGTTTTCAGAGCCAGTAAATTGCATGGGAGGTGATTGCCAACCCTTCTCCCAGATACAGACATTTATATATATATGTATATACACACACGCACAACATACATACATGTATGTATATATGTGTGTATGTGTATATATATTCATACATACACACATCCCATTTTTTTATTTTATAATTAAAGTCTTATTTGCCTTTATATAATTCAAAAGCCTCAATTCAAAGTCATCATTATTGAAAAAATATCAATTCTTTAATCTTGTTTTTCCTCAAGTTTCACATAATTTAGGTTTACATATTGTATTTATATCCCCACATTTACAGATGCAGAAACAGAGATTCAAAGATATTAAAGTGAATTTCTTTTTTTTTTTTTAAATTTAGGTTGTTTATTTTTCATTTCAATGAACATCTACAGAGATTTTGGGATTCCATTCATTCATTGTTGCACCCTTCTCCCCGCACAAACCCCTCCCCCCTCCCCCCCATTTGCTCCTCTCCTTGAAAAGCAAAAGAAAAACTCCCTCATTGGTACACAATCCCCCCCCCGCACCTCCCCAAACCCCACCCCCTTGCCCCAAATATAATCCACTCTACAACCCTCATTGCATACTCCTACAATAAAAATAATGCCCTAAAATATAATACTTTTAGACACATCCCATTTTTAAAGATTCTTGCCTTTAGCAATTCCATTTCATCAATGAGAGGCTTCCACCTTTGGTCAGGTCCCTGGACAGCAACAGCATGCCAAGTTGTGACCTGGTACAGGGTCCCACTGGCCCACGTTTCCACTGAGGAAAGGTCATTTGCTGGTAGACCAGAGCTGGAGAGAGAAGCTGAGGCTTGTCCAGCACATGACACGGCCCAGATGGCCTGCTGTGTGTGCTTATTGGTCATCAAGTCAGTTCCACCTCGTGAGTTCTGACCCAGAGTAGCCCTTGGCTCTGTAGGATTTTCTAGAGCTTTTTCGGCATTAAGTGGCCAGGCCTTTCTTCCAAGGTGCTTCTGGGTGGGCTTGACCTCCGACCTTTCACTTAGAAGCTGACCACATTAATCTTTTCCAACGGCCACAGTCAACATATGTCAGTTCTGCGTGTTTGGGGGAGGGGGGTGTCCCCCTGTGTTCTTTTAGAGTAAACGTTTCTTTCTTTGTTTCTCTTGCCTTCCAGTTCATCTACGATGAAGAAATCGTGTGGTAAGTTTTTAACCTTTGCTGTCAGCTGTTTCTTCTCCCTGCGTTTCCAGTGCCCTTGTGTGTTGAGTTCACTGAATCATTTTTATTACTTTCACACACATAAGCTTATGAACTCATAAAAGTAAAAAATGAGTTTTCACGCCTGTGACCTTTCCCACATAGATCACCAGGCCAGAGAGAGAGAGAGGAGTGCGTCCTATCAGGGCCCCTGAAACCTCACACCTCACGTCTGGCAGGGCCTTTTTGGCTTGCAGTGACCCCAAAGGACAGAGTGGAACTGCTCCGTGGGGGCCCACAGCTGGAATCTTGGTGGAAGCAGACCTGTCATCCTTCTCCTGTGGAGCCTCTGGGGCAGTGAGAGGGAGGGGGCTTTGACCACTGACTTTTTAGTTACTGTCTGGGCACTTCAGCTGCTGTACTTGCTAAGACCAGCCCTCACCCCTCTATTTCCCAGAAGGCTTCTGTGCCTGGTCCTAGCCCCTCTCAGCCAGGTCTCAGGCCCCTGGGATGCGGACCTGTCTCCCCCACACTCCCAGTTCCTGGCTTTCCATGTATCAGGTGGCCGTGAGGTCTCCTAGGATTGTACCTGGGTGACTCCAGACTTTCTTCCCCTCCTCCTGTTCCTGGTAACTGGGGGGCAGGGGGCAAGCTCTACCTGGGTCTTGCTGTAATTGATGAATAGACACACCCCTTCACCTTTCTCCCTCAGTCATCAAGAGGGTTTTGTTTAGGGGGACAGCAGATGACGGTGTGCTTACCCAGGATGTCTGAGTCCGGGCCTGGGTGCAGGGATTGGCAGGAACGCCCCACCTTCTCCACTCACCCCGTGTGCCGGGCTTGGGAGCCTGCCCAGCTCTAACCACAGTCTCGTTTTTCTCTTCGAGGTGGGAAGGCTTGGTGCTCATCATCTTGTATGTGTTCTATATCCTCATCATGAAGTAAGTGCCCCTCCTCCCTCCCCTTCCCAGGCTGCCCTGGCCGTTGACATGAGGTCCAGGTGGGGGAGGGGAACCTGTGTGGGTTCTCTCTGTCCCTTCTGCCAGCCCCAGGTCTCTGGGAGGCAGTTAGAGAGTGGGAGTGATACCCACACCCTGTCCACAGAAGGCCTGGGTGGCGACCTCCCAGGCTGAGATGCAAGCAAGGCCCTACGTGCCTCGCCCAGTCCTGCTTCCCCACCACTCATTCTGTGTCTGTAAACCTCCAAATACTTCAGTTCTGTTCTCATAAACAAGCCAGACTCCCTTAGCTTCTCACATGCAAGTCCTCAGGGTCTCTACTACGTGTGGCCACGGGGCACACTGCTCACGTGCACACACAGCTTGTTGGATTCCACTCCACTTGACTGCATTTTTAATGCATCGAAGGTTTGTGGCCACCCTGCCTTGGACAGGTCTGCTGGCTTTGTTGACCTCACGTCTTTGTCATAGTTGGTCACTCTTGTGTATCTCAAACAATGTTGTGGCACACTTAACAGACTCCAGTTTTGGGTAAACATGCCTTTTACATGTACAACGACACTAGGACATTGTGTGTCTTTGCTGTGTTGCGACCTTGGCTTTACTGCAGTCATCAGTTTATGGCAATATGTGCAGCCCACCTGTACCTGAACGTGTACCTTTATGTCTCTGGATGTGGCCCAGTCACACCACCCACGTGCTGGGAGTGGATGGTGACCTGCACAATCACAGCAGAACCTTCTGCCCTTCTGTCTGGCCCTCTCGGAGTGGCTTTCAGTGAGCAGCCAGCCTGAGGGCTTGGACATGGAGAGGTGCTGGCTGTGGGCTTGTCTGTACGATGAGTCCCTAGAGATGTTCATGGAGCGGTGCCTCCCTAAGGTGTCCGTAGGTGCAGCTGGACTGCCCTTATGAAGTTGAGCTTATATATTTCAGTAAGCAAGCATGAGTCATTTTCTTAGGCTGAAAGTCTCACATAGCCCCTCACTTTGCCCATTGTTCTCAAGCTTCCTCAGGACACCCTGCACTGAATAGGAGAACCTCACAGGTCACCTCCCTCCCAGGGGGACACTCTTAGGGCCAGGCTGGCCTTATTGGGGGAGCATTAGGGGGATGGCAGCAGAATTCCTGACCCATATGGTCCTGGGACTTCCCACCCAAGGTCTCCCCTGACTGCGTCTCTTACCCTTCTAGGTACAATGTGAAGATGCAAGCCTTTTTCACCATCAAACAAAAGACTGTTGCCAATGGCAACACGGTCAACAACGAGCTGGAGGATGGTAATGATTACTGTGACGTTAGCTTTGATGACCCTTCCGTGCCATTGCTGAGGCAAGGTAAGGCTGAGCAGACAGGAGGGACGCAGCTACTGCCCCCTGAGCCATTCTCCTCAGGTGTGCATTTACACACACACACACACACACACACACACACACACACACACTCCCCCCGCCCCAAATTGCCACTCCCTCAGGATACGTTGTTGTTAGCTGCAGCTGTCAGGCCAACCTCAGTTCACAACAGCCCCGTACACGATAGAACAAAACACTGCCAGTCACTAGAACCTTGTGATCCATAGAGTTTTCCTTGGCTGAATTTTGGAAGTAGATCACCAGGCCTTTCTTCCTAGTCTTAGTTCCAAAGCTCTTTTGAAACTTGTTGCGGTCATAGCAACATTCAAACCTCCCTGGCAGACACGTGGTGGTCGTGTTTGAGACTTATTGGTTGGGAAGGGAACCCAGCTCGCCCACGAGGAAAACAAGGATTCTGTCACTGAGCCCCCACTGCTCACACTCTGAGGACTTACCTTTGGTTAAAAGCTCATATGAGGAGGAAGTTATATACAAGGTCTGAGATGTTTGCCCATTGTGGTATTTGTTTAGGTGGAAGAAGGATAGAGGAAGGAAATACACCAGGGAAAAAAGAAAGCTGACCCATCTCTTGGAATTTTCCTAGCTTCCTGGGAAAGGCCAGAGGCCCTGCTTGGTATTCCTGAAAGGTGTGGTGTCCCTGACCGTGTAAAAGGCAGGCGACAGAAAGCTGAGGTGTGGAGGGTGACAGAGCAGGCCTGTGCCTTTCGAGGTTCCTCACTTGACAGGCCCAGTGTGGAGGGACAGTCTGGCACCTGGGCTAGGAACAGCTGCCCATGTCAGCAAAGAGGCAGTCCTGAGTTAAGTGAGAATCCCCCAGCCAGCTCCCAGAGAGCCCCATACAAAGCGCTACCCTGGGGGGGCACCCTCGTCCCCTGATCGGCTCCCAGCAACTTGGGCTTCCGGTCCTCTGAGCCAGCCCTTGTCCCTCATCGTCCAGCCAATCTCTGAGTAATAGCCTCTGTCTGGAGGCTGTCAGGAGTTGAGAGAGTGAACTTACGTTTCCCTATGTCAGCACCAGTTGAAAACAGCCAGTTGTCATAAAAGAAGTGCCAACTCCTGGTCACCCTGTGCATGTCAGAGCAGGACTGCACTCTTTGGGGTTTTTCTGTGGTTGATTTTCCTGAAATAGGTCACTAGGAATATCTTCTGAGGCACCTTGGGGGAGACTTGAACCTCTGACCTTTCAGTTAGAAGCTGACTGTGTTAACCCTTTGACCCAGCGCCTCCGCAAAGCCTGAACAAAACTCCACAGCCAAGCCTGCTGCTGTCAGAGCTGTTCTGACTCACGCCGCCCTCCGTCAGATTTTTCTCACTCACTCACTCATAGCTGACCTTCAGCCGTTGTCAGAGGCTGTAAATCATGTGATAGGAGATTGCGGGTCTTTCTCCCGTTGAGCTGCTGCTGGATTCGAACTGCCAGAGAGGCACCACCTTTGGGCTGGCAGCACAACACCCTGCGGGCTGAGCCACCAGAACTCCCCATCAGTGATCAGAGGCTGTAAATCTTTACGGAAGGAGCCTACTCATCTCTTTTCTTTAGAGCAGCTGGTGGATTCAAACCGCTGACCTTTTAGTTAGTTGTTCAGCACCTAACATTCTGTGTCAGTGCTGCTGCTGCTGCTGCTGCTGCTGTTGTTGTTGTTGTTGTTGTATACCATCGAGTCAGAACCAACCCATACCTGACCTTCCAGCGGGTTTTCAAAGGCAGTTAATTGCATGGAAGGAGATCGCCCAGCTCTCTCCCACAGAGCCTCTGGTGGGTTCAAATCGCGTACCTTTGCGTCAGTAACATGATTCCTTAGTGCTAAGCCACCAGAACTCCCTAGGTCAACAAGTTCTTACAAACCCAGAGTTCTTAAAATTAGGGACTCAAAGCCAGCCTCCTTGAGTTCCACACCCCAGTGGTGCTGATGCTCTGTGGACCAGATAAAATAACCTTGGGCTGGTCACCTGAGAGGTCTCTCCCGCTGGTCCCCATGGCCCTGAGTCAGTCATGTCTTTCTTTAATTCATGACTTTAATTCATTTGTGGTGCCAGTGGTCTGTCCATGTGGCCTTGGAAGCACTTGTGTGAGCCCGTGCCCAGGACTTTGGGGGCTGCAATCTGTGTCCCTTGCACTCCTATCAGGGCTGTTTGGTCTGAGGTGGTTCAGGGTAAGGGTTTCACCCACATGCACTTTGAACACATGTGGTCTGTCTCCTGTATCAGGTAACCCCCTGAAGGCAATCTTGGTAGCAGGTGAACTCTGCATACAGAGGAAGCTAACAGTGGGGGTGAGTGGGATGGGGTGGGGTGCAGTCTTGGTCACAGCCTGGCTGTCAGAGGCTCACCCACTAGGGACTGAACAAAGGATCTTCGCCTTGCAGAGCGTGGGACTTAGCTCAAGTGTGGAAACACAGCGTCCTGTTGCAGCGTTTAATTAATGCAGAGCTGGATGCCCCAGGGGAGAGCCTGTTTCCAGGACAACCTCCTTGGAAAGGGAAGCCACTTTTTTTTTCCCCCATGGTTTTGGATTCAGACTCCACAGAAACAATGGCTTCAAGGTCTCTCAGAAGTTGCTTCCTGCCCAGTCACCTGAGACCTAGGTTCCTGGCAAGTGAGAGAGCTGGGCGTTTAACATGCTCACCCAAGAGCTCCCTAGTGCCCCCCGTGGCTGATGGCTGTCCCAGCTTCACGCAGCCCTGGACTCCAGGATGGCAGAGGCAGCTGCATTTTCTGGAGAAACCCAGGCTCCCCTTCGGCCTCTGTCTGTGTGAGGACTTTGCTACCTTTTTATCCTGAGAGGGTCTCTGCCTTTTTTGCAGAGTCAATAAAAAAAAAAGTCAATAATTAGACTTTATAGGGAGCTCTGGTGGCCTAGTGGCAAGAAGCTGCACTGCAATCCCAGAGGTACGCAGTTCAAATCCACCAGATGCTCTGCTAGAGAAGGTGGGGCAATCTCCTCCTATACCAGTCACATCCCATTTGACGGTCCATACAAAAAAATTAATTAAAAAAAATAATTGGACTTTATCACAAGTTTCTCTTCCTCAAAATCTCCTCAAGTCTTGGACAATTTCTAGAAAACTGGTTTAGATGTAGAACTGTCCCTTCTCCTGAGTGCAGAGGAAGGACATTATGTCCCTTCCTCACTTAGAGAGAAAGGTGGGCAGCCCTGCTCTTTGAAAATTGAGAATGGTAGCTAAAGATATAGAGACTGGGATCGTCTAGCCCAAGTGGGAGGGCTGGCCCTTCCCTCAACCTCTCACCATCCGAGGGAGCCATGGTGTGAGTCACTCCAGTGTCCTGTCCCCAGAAGCAGGCTTGACTGAAATAGGATGAAGGAACATCTCGTGAAATCTCTCGAGGGACTGAGGAGAGAAACTAGGGCTGCGAGACTTTTCCTTTGTGAATGATGTTGTCAGGGAGTGTCGAGGTGGTGTCAGCATTCCTCTCAGGCTGTCCTCAGCCTCCAGGCAGAATGCCATTCAAGCAGCCGCCCACAGAAGCCGGGAAGCGGGCTGCTCACTTCTGTCAGGAATGCACATGCACACAGAGCCCTGACTTTGCTCTGAACGTTTCATGTTCCCTACAGAAAATAATTTGAGAACCAAGCTTCTGGACAGGAGAGAAAATCCCAAAACTATTAACTCTTGCTCTTAAAAAAAAAATCACCTTTATCTTGTTACATTTTCTTCAGGGTCATACAGCTCATTCCACCAGACTGTCTCTGAACAGTTCATTCTGATTTTGTCCATTTAGTCTCTCTTCTAAGGTGTTCATAGCATACTGTCGTTATAGTCAGAAAACAGCCCGTTCCACCCAGGAAAAGTCCCAGAGATGGAGGTAGAAGTTCCAGCCACTGAGAGCCCAACAACCTTTCCTGCTGGCCCTGGACCCTGCCTTACATCCAGGTCCCACTTGACCTCTAGGGACTGTCAAATGCGGCCCAGACCCTGGGCCCAACTTTAGCATGAGTCAGGGAAGAAGGGGCAGGGCCTGGCCTTGGGCTGAACTTTGGGGAAAGCATGTTATCTGCTGGGCATCCTCTCTGGGCTTGGATCTGCCGTCTGGTGCTGCCACATGGCGGGTGGTTCCTGGAGAGCAGCTGTCCGGTCTTCCGCCTCTGAAGGCCGATTAGACTTCAGCTCACTCCTTCTGAGCCCATTGCTGCCTAGTGGGGCCCATGACATGGCTGTGTCTACTGGAAAAGGCCTGCCCAGAGAAGGACCGGAGGGTCCTGCAGCGGGGAGAGGCGGTGGACGCGGGACACTCCTGCTCCTCAGAGTGGAAGCAGAGCCGTCACATGCAGCCAGCCAGGGGTCATCCTGAAGGCCGGAGGCCCAGGCATGGAAGCTCCCAGTAGAAGCCCCTCTACTAACCTCCTCCTTCACGTAACCCTGGCACCGCACTGCCACGGAGAATGCTGCCCAGCCTCGGCACCCACGGCACACTGCTCATATCTGCTCTCACTGTCGGCCTCTGTCTCCCTAACGCCTCTCCTCTTCTAAATTGTAAGTAATCCGCTTTCATTCGAGCAATAACACGTGCATTTAAAAAAAAGAAACACCGCCCTTAGTCCAGCCCAGCCCGTGCCTCGTGGAAAGATGGCGTCCACCTCTGACAAATGCATGGCCTGGCTTTGTTTTCTAACCAACACCCCTCCTGTCTGCTGAGCCCCGCTGCCTGTTTGGTGAGGGGGTGGGGATGTTGGGTGCATGTTTGTTTGTGTTTGTGCTGTTAACTTATATGGGAGTCTGCTCCCCATAACTGGCTACATTTGCTGGAAAACAGTAACCAGCTCAGAAGGGAGAGTGTATCCATTTTTACAGCCTGCATATGTGTGCTGCTTTGTTCAATTTCTAGAACCTTCTGGAAGTCCAAGTGAAGCGTCCACCCCCCAGCACAGGGACATGTTTAATGAAGGTTCATATCTTCTGGTCTAGGGTCTGGACTTGAGAGGGGGAAAGGGTCTCAGAGAGGGAGCACTTTGTTCCTGGAGGGGTTCGCCTGTGTCACAGCCGTGGGCTTAGCCAGCACTCAGCATAAGCCTTGGACAAGCCGGCTCCTCTCTTGGGACACAGCTGCCTCACGTGCCAAGCCGTGGGCCTCCCTCCTCCCTCACAGAGCAGTTAGCCACCCCTTGCCCAGGGAGTGGAAACAGACATTTAAGGGACAGCTCCAAAATGATTGTCAGGGACAAGTGACCACGAGAGGAGTTGAGAGCCAAGGCTTTTCTAGTATTTTGCATTCTGGGTGATTCTGTTCAGTTTCTAAGGTTTTACTTCCCCCTCTGTAAAGCAGAGGGGAGGAGAGGCCCCTTACAATCACAGTCATGGAGGAAGGTGAAGGGGTCCAGTGTATATTGTAGGTAGGCTTCCCAGGGGGACAGAGATATGTTGGCGGTTAGATGAGGCCCCAGAGGGAGGAACATCTGCAGCAGGAGGAACTCAAGGTGGACTGATATGTGATCCTGGAGCAAAGGACCAGGAAGTCTGAGGCTCCAAGGTGGAGGTGCAGAACAGGTGACCCTTATGGTTGACGGGAAGCACTGAGGCCAGTCACCCCCAGACTGACTTCAGGTGGTTGCCAGCTGCCAGGACACCAGCCCAGAGAAGAGGCCGCTGGCGGGGAAGGTGTCCCAGGCCTTGTGTGTGTCTTCAGGGAGATGCAGGCACTAACTGCATCCTTGTGCTCTGTAGTGAAGGAAAAGCCAGCCTACAGCAAAAACCCGGTGGTAATGGTGGACGAGGTCATGAGCTCCAGCCCTCCCAAGTTCAACTTCCCTGAGGCGGGCTTGCGCATAATGATCACCAATAAATTTGGACCCAGGACCCGACTGCGCATGGCCAGCAGGATCATAATTAATGAGGTAAGTGTGCTTAAATTACCAAGGGCTTTGGGACGTTCTGACACTATGGCAGAGCCCTTCCAGGCTCTGGGCCACCAGGATGTCCTTGATCGATGTTTAAGGAAGCTCTTGGTGACGCCGTGGTTAATAATTCAGCTGCTGCTTTCCGAAATGGTTTGGCTGTCTGACTGGCGGGATGGCTGGCATCATGATGGTGGCTTGACTTGGTGGCAGTCAAGGCAAGTGAAGTTTCTGGGGTCCTTTTTGCTGTGAAGCTGAACACTGTGACACTGATGTGTCAAATGCAATAATGGTTACCTGTGGTGGACAGTGTTCGGTGGAGCTCCCCGATTAAAACAAGCTTGGAAGCAGGAGTGGCATCCACTTCCGAAATAGCTTGCCTCTGGAACCTGGAGAAAGGATGAAAGTCACACACAAGTGTCGAGGACTTTTGTTCATAGGGTCGCTATGAGTTGCCTATGACTCGACAACACTTAACAACAAGAGCATCCAAAATGGTTACAGGTTCAAACACACCAGCTGATTTATAGGAGAACAGTGGTGTAGTCTGTATTCTCAGGAGTTTTTGTTGTTGTTGTTGTTGTTGTTGTTAGGTGTCATCAGGTCAGCTACTCATAATGAAACTCTGTGGAGCAGCTGGGCTCTGTTCTGTGGGCCACTGTGAGTCGGAATTGGCTTGAAGGTACTTGACTGGGTTTGATTTTTTTTTTCTCTGCCACCTCCCCTCAAAAATCAGAGGCATCACTTGATCCACAGAGTGACCCAATATTATGCCGACCGTGTTTGAGTAAGAATTTTCTCAGATGCCAGAGTAGAACTAACTCGTTGGAGGAAGGCCAGTCTAAAGTGTGGACAGTTTCATTAAAATGCTGTTTAGGGCAACAGAAAATGAATGCGCAGCTGTTCTCCATGGATAGAAAATCGTAGAAGTAACCCTGAGACGTTGAGATCGCATCTGCCTCATGATCATAACTGGCTCTCATCCTGCTTCATTAACATCATAGAGATTAGGATTTACAACACTTAGAATAATTACATCAGATCACAAAATGAGAACAGTTATGTAATACAGAGAATCAGGGCCAGCAAAATCAGTGCCTATTTCGAGAGCACACAGTTCAATCCATGACACCATATATCAGAAAAGAACTATCCAAAAGGGTTTTCTAGGTTATGATCTGTAAAGAAATACATCATAGCAGCTTTGACCTATGGAGCCACTAAGAGGTGCTGGGTGGATTTGAACTATCAACCTTTCTGATAGCAGCCGAGTATTTAACAATTAACCATTATGCCACGAGAGCACCATACATAGTTTTTCTCATCTCACTCCCTTTGCTGCCAAGTCTGAACTGACTCCTAGCTGACCCTCTGTTGAGGTTCCAGGACTATCAGTAGCACGGGAAGAGATTGACCATCTAGCTCCCGAGTAGCCTTTGGTGGATTCGAACCACCGGAGAGACAACCATCATTGGGTTAGCTGCACAACTCCCTATGGACTAGGCCATCACAGCTACTGCACATATTTATTTAAAACTCAAATCCATTGTCATCAAGTTGAAACCGACTTATAGGCGGCCTTCCAGTGGACTTTCTGAGGCTGTAAATAGTTCTGGAGGAGATTGCCTGTCTTCCTCTTAGGAAGCTACTGGTGGGGTTGAGCCATGAGAGACAGTTATTAGGAAGCTTTAAACTTTGGATGCTGTTAATTGATACTCAGCACTTGATTGTCTGCAAGAATAGTATCTCAAAGACATTATGTTGAGTGAAATATCTCAGTCACAAAAGGACAAATACTGCATAGTGCCACTGTTGTAAAACAGGACTGACATCGGGGTTGGAGGGAGACTGAGAAAGATGGGATAAATTATGAATACTGCATTGAAACAGATGAGGGAGAAAACTGTTTAAAAGGGATATGTGATTAGATATTATTGTCATGACAGGAGTCCAGAATGAAGGCTGCATAGTGGAGTGGACTTGGAGGGAAGGATTGTATAAAAATGAAAGAATTTTTCCTTTACTTTTCCAAGAGAAGAGTGTACTGGGGCAGGACGGGTGAGAAGGGAGAAAAGAGCAACAATGAATGAATGGAAATCCAAAGTCTCTGTAAATTTTCATTGAAATGAATAATAATTTTAAAAAAAGAATAGTATCTCACAGTATTTAAAGATTGGGTAGTTTGATTATTTCTGTTTTGGTTGTATAATTTACCCTCTTCAGGGCAAGTATATCAAGTACCAAAACTACCACAAAAACCACACTGTGGCCGAGTCAGGTCTAACTCATGGTGCTCCTCCACAGGGTCTCTGAGAAGACTGCCTTTATTTAACCCTTACAGCATCGGGTGGGTTCAAATCCTCAACGTTTTGGTCCGCTTTTGTTATGTACCGTCAAGTTGGAAGAGACCCATAGTTGACCCTCCAGCAGGGTTTCATAGTCTGTAAACTGCACAGAAGGAAATTGACCATCTTTGTCCTGTGGAACAGCTGGTGGATCGAAACCCTGTGCCTTTGGGTGCAGCTCCTTCCCTCTAGGCCACCAGAGCTCCCGTTGGATTAGCAGTGCACTGTGCCCTCTGGGATCCCTGTGTTGATAAGAATGCCATCCTAAGCTTTGGATCATCCCGAGTCATTTTGTTCCAAACCAATTCAGTGAAATTCAAATCTGTGAAACTTAAGGGTTTTTCGTGAACAGATCACTGTACCTCGTGTGTGTTACAGGCAGGATGCTGAGAGACTAATAAGAATTTGGAGACACTTGGTCTTAGAATATATTATAGTGACAGGTGCAATCAGGAACATCATGAGCTTGTTTTTGTTGCTGCTGGGGTGGGTGGGTGGGAGAGAGAGAGAGAGGGAGAGAGTGTGTGTGTGTGTGTGTGTGTGTGTGTGTTTAACTTTTCTTGTATTTGAATGAAAGCAAGCAGAGCAGATTGAGTTTCCAGGTAACCATTTGTACATCTCTGGTTTGTGACGTTGGTGACAATCCCCACAGGGTGACAACACTCTTCTCACTTCCCTGTGGTTTATTTCATTCCTCCGTCTTTCCTCTCCCTTCCTGCCTTCTCAGCTCTTCTCTGGGCAGATGTTTCCCGTTTGAATTTACATGGTTGATTGTTTCAAGGACTGAGTTGTAGTTTGTTAAGTGCTTTCTAATCAAGTGAGACTCCTAGCAACCCTGTGATCAATAGATCTGACCCTGTCCCATCCTGTGCCAGCCTCACCTCTGATACACTTGAGCCATTGCTGTAGTCAGTGTGTTAGTCTATCTTGTGGCGGGTCTTCCTCTCTTTCACTGGCCCCTCGTCTCCCCAAGTATGGTGTCCCTTTCCCGTAGTCTCCTAGCAACATGCCCCACATATGTGAGATGAAGCTTTGTCATCATTGCCTCCACAGAGCACTCTGGCTGCACTCTCTCTTAAGATGTGTCTATTTGTTGTTTTGACACTCCATGGGATATTCTGTACTCTTCTCCAACACCACAGCTCAAAGGCTTTGATTCTTCTGTCATCTTTAGTCATTATCCAGATGTATAACAAATGATTGAAAAGACTATGGCCTAGTTTTCTCAAAAAGTTGCAAATAGAAATACCATTTGACCCAGCAATTTCACTACTGGGAATTTACCTTAAAGAAATAATAACCACCACCCAAGCAGATATATACACACCCGTGTTTATTGCAGCTATGTTCACAATAGCAAAGAGCTAGAAACAACCCAAATGCCCATCAACAAACGAATGGATAGAGAAGTGGAATACTATGCTGCATGAAAAACAAGGAACTCATGAAATATTATGCAAAGTGGATGATACTGAGGGACATTATGCTGAGTGAAATATCTCAGTCACAAAAGGACAAATATTGCATAGGGCCACTGTTGTAAAACGAGACTGACATTGGGGTTGAGGGAAGACAGAGAAGGAGGGGAGGAATGATGTATACTGCATTGAAACAGATGAGGGAGAAAACGGTTTAAAAGGGATATATGATTGGGTATTATTATCATGACAAGAGTCCAGAATGAAGGCTGCACAATAGAGTGGATTTAGGGGCCAGGATTTCATAGCAATGAAAGAGTTTTACTTTTTAAGGAGAAGAGTGAACTGGGGAGGAGGGGTGGACAGGGAGAAAAGTGCAACAATGAATGACTGGAAACCCTAGATCTCTGTAAACTTTCATTAAAATTAATTAAAAGAAAAGAAAAGGCTTTGGCCTAAAAAGTATCAGAAGCTCCTTCAAGTTCCTAGCTCACCCAATCCCAAGATGTTATTATTCATCTTATCATGTTTGATGCCACTTCCAGCCAAGCCATATAAGGTGAACAGTAACGTCATGGAGTTTTGATGAGCTGGAAATGTCTCCACTATGTTGGGCTCTCCTGCCTGGGAAGGCATTACGGAGAATTAGAGAGGTCTGTGCGGGAATAAAGTCCCGATGTAAATGTTCTTTACATCTGACGTTAGCTACTCACTCCCTACATCTCTCTGGTTCTCAGATTCTCTGTCTCAGGGTGCTTCCAGCTCTAAGCGTTCTGATGACGCAGGCATGAAGAGCTAACACCTGGGAGCTACCTAGTGTCCTCAGGGAACTCCACTGTTGAACAGCGTGGGGAGAAGACCCACCCAGTGCCATGGCCAGATTCAAAGCTGGTTCTTCAGACCAGATGTTTTTGGTCCCAGACACTCTTCAGTTATTTTTGTTCCAGAATGTGATAGAGAAGTTAGCCAGTCTCACGTGAACCCCTGGTAGACACATCTGGGGGAGGACGCCCTTACTTGTTCACCTTCAAGATGGCAAAGCCCTTCTGTGAGATAGTTTGCAAAGTGGAGGGTGCTCAAAAGTAGGTGCTTGTGGTGGTCAGGTCCCAGGGAGGTGTTTTCAACCTGTAGTGGCCCAGTGTACGGAGTAGAACTTTCTCTCGGGATTTTTCAGCTGGAATCTTCACAGACACAGATTTCCGTGGAGCCACTGGGTGGATATGAACTACTGAGGTTT